GGTAGTAGTAGTAGTAGAGAGAATAATAATATATATATATATATATATATATATATATATATATATATATATATACTATATATATATATATATATACTATAATATATATATATATATATAGGGAACCCGAGGTGTTGTGAACACACGCATGACACACGTACGGCCACACCTGTGCGCGTACATAACATGAGCGATTGATTTGCACATACCTTGCGTTGAGTTGTACTCTCCGCATGGCTGAGCCGTTGTTCTTTCGCATTAAACCTTGCTATGCGAGTGTAGCGCAATTGATGCGTGCCTGAGTGGTGTGCGGAGATGCGTCGTACTTTATGTCCTGCTGTCTACCCGAATATGTACAGGCTACGCACGCGCCTAAGACCTATGGGGTTACAAAGGTCACTGAACTTTCCGCTGCGTATCTGAAGTAAAAGATGAGCATGCTAGAACGCGTTGGTTGTGCACATGTCGATCGATAAGTGTTATGTCGTGTGCGGCAACGGACGTTGAGGTGGATGTCGAGGTCGTATGAACGCGTACAGTATCTGCCTTTCGATGCGTTGTCTTGGTGGGTGTTGCTAGGCACAAGCCATACCTTATCGATTTACAGCACTTATCTACCATACACGCACTCTGCTAACTCTGCTAACTCTGCTAACTCTGCTTGGCCTTGCTTGACCTTGCTTCCTACCTCCTGTCCATTTGCTATAGGATCTGGTGCCAATTAAGATGACTACTGTCTACACAGTCCCAGAGTTCAACCACACCTGGACCCACCACCAGGCCAAAAGTGAAGAGATGCGACGGATGATACCGCTCTACTATTGCGCTATAGATAGGTGAGTGCGAGAACAGTCATGCTTGTAGATAGGCACGTGTATACATACTATAGTTGTAACTCGATATCTGTAGGTAGACACACTTGTGCGCATATCACTCAGCAGAACGGGATCCATACCCAACCATCATGACAATCTTATATACACTCCACTAACTGTAGCCTGCAGAGGAGATGGCTATAGCTGTCAGTTTTTAGTGAATTGCGTGTGAAAGTGTTGGAACACCAATGTGGGTACAGTTCAGCTTGTGAATGTATATGCAATAATAGGCCATCGTCTCAACGGGATAGTACAGATGTACGCGTATATTCTCAGCCAGCCAGACAGATCAAGTTGTCAGCCATGCCCCATATATACCCCTACCGGACTTGTTTTAGGGCTTAGGGTTTCCTTGTTGGCTTGGTTGTTAGGGTCTTATTCTCAGTTGCTTGCGATTCAGCTTCACCAAGTGTTAAGGCTGCACAATGAAGTGCACAGATGCTTGGAGTTTATGAATAGCTTTTGTGGTCTTCCGAGTGGTATGGGGTGAGGTTTTAATCAAGGTTGTGTCAATAGACTTGTATACCGAACCTTTTATGCACATTCCATATTTGGTAGCTTAGATCCACACACGTCCTTTTGGTTCATGTAGGTATCCGGAGTTGGAGGCGCTTAAAGCCGCGCCCCACTACGCCATCAAGGACCGTACCCTGTACGGCACTACGGGAGTCTTTTTCGCTCATTACGGTGTGTCCTGGGACAAAACGGTACAATTCTGATCAATTGAGGTGCACTTAGATACGGTGTCTGTGCTCGTACACAAGTACATTTTTATCAAGTGTTCCTAGGCACAGGCACTTACTACTGTGCATGAGTATTGTGGCTATACACTGTGTGATTACGTTATATATATAAATATATATCTGTATATATTTATATATTCATATATTGTTTCTATATATTATTTATATACATATCTATATTAAAGTATATACATACACATGTATATATAACGTTCACTGTCAGCTGTTGCACCACGATGCATAGGTTAGTCAATAGTTAGGCGATGATTGGGGGAGTCCGCACGCTTAGTGCGAAGTTGGAAAGCAGGAAAGGGTGTCTGTTTCATGATGGTGTACAATTGCATCTCGATAGAGTGTGTCTCCGCCAATGCTTGGGCTACATTGTAGTAGATGACTGGTTTAATTGTTGAGAGGAGTTATATATAGCATATCCGTTGGTCTGTGTATACGCCCACAGACGTAGTGCCGTACCCGCATTGCTATGTTTATATCTGTAGGATACTCTGTACTGGCTGATACTTGTGTGTACGACTGTTGTTGCATGGACTCCACTTTATCAATGACCGCACCGTCCTTTTGTGCCAAACGCACGATTGGATTATGTAGAGACGGTGAAGTTCAATACTTTCTGCTGTGGTTGAATTGCGCTCGAGCTTGTACTTATTGGAGTGTGCTGTAGGAACGTTGTAGTGGACCCTTTGACCTGTTCCGTAGTCTTCCCCATCACTGTACTAATAGAGCCGTCCAACACCGAATACCAAAACAGGTATACCGTACTACTGGAATTTGGGACTGAGCAAACGCGGAATGGACGAAGAAAAGGCCTGGGAAAAGGGCCTATATGGCTGGCGATAACGACTAGCTCTGATCGGTTTTTAAAATAAAATAAAACAAAATTAGGACACGGCGCAGTAGATGCAGGGCTGTCCTATCCGAAAGTGAAATGGTCCGATAAGTTGGCCTGATTTTGTTTGTAGCCAATTCAGTATGTGCTGCACAATTGTTATGACTGTTTGCCAAGCTTTAGGGTTTTAGGGTTGAATTTTTAGAATTGGGGCGCGACCCACGTTTGAAAGGGATGCGCACAACGGTCCATGCGTAATTTAATATAGCCGTCTTTGTTGATGGCTATGAATTTAAAAAATACTATGAACAAGCTGAAGTGAATAGATGCATTATTATTAAAGTCATACGCACAATATTACTAAAGTGCTGAACGTATAAATAGTCAAAAGCATATAAATAGTCACAGACTTGTTACTTTACGTTATGAGCATTTAGATAGTAGTGCCGGTATGCATTGGAAATTAAATGTGTATGGCGTATAAAACCGATACGCGCACAGTCACCCCACGGGCAAACTCCCCTTAACTACGAACTAACTACTAATCTATGACTATGCAAGTAGCTTGCAGGTCCTATTTCCCGGGGTTTGCGCTAAAATTTATATCCAACAACCCTAGAAGAGTGACGATCCTGGAACACTAGAATTCCTGGAATAGAAACAGCACTAGAACACTATAAACACTTGAAGACTACCAACCATAGAAAACTAGAAACCATAGAACACTAGAAAACATAGAACACTAGAAACCATAGAACACTAGAAACCATAGAACACTAGAAACCATAGAACACTTGAAACCCTAGAGCACTAGGAACCATAGAACACTAGAAACCATAGAACACTAGAAACCATAGAACACTTGACACCATAGAACACTTGAAA